TCCTCTCTTCGTGGCTCTTCCATATCAGCCGAGTGTGAATGGCTTATTTCCGTGTTGCCTTTTTTGGCCGAATTTTGAAATTTGTATTTGGCCTTTTGAGCCAACACTTTCATACGCTGGCTCCCGGCAAAAGACAAAAAGGGAATACCCCGACAGAAGAACAACTCTTTAGGGCTATTGAAATCGAAAATGTTTTCCGACTGATGCGATAAAAATGAGCACGATTGTGTTGGAAGGATTCTGACCAAGGGAGAGAAGATTATAGGTTTGAAATTACTTTTTTTCCCCCTTATTTGAGTTGAACTATTGCTCATGAGTTGCCTTTTGAATGATTGAATTTCTAACGTCGTTTGAATGCATTCTCATGCGCAAGATAAACTTTTAATAGGATAAACTCCTGTTTAGTGTCTTGATTACCTCTGATCTTATTGTAATTCATTATTAGGATGTTTCAAATGTGCTTGACTGTATCGAAAGGATGCTAAATGTATCTAAGGGAACACCACTAAACCCTGATAAAATGTTCGACTCCAACCTCGAACAGCAACTGAATGTGTCGATGTTTCTTTTTGTTTCTTATGTTTGGGGGCATTTGTGAAACTTTCGTCGGGCTCGTGGAATTGCTCGTTTAACTCATTTAACTTTTGTGCTTGGGTTTCGGGCTGTGTGTATGTGTGGGCAAGTGGTATTTTTTTTGTTTTGCGTGTAAAGTTTGCATAAATTTCAGCAACAAGAAAAGTTAATAATGCCAGCAGGCAAAGTCGAGCTGGGGCGACAATGAAAATAATTCAATTAAAACACTTTTCCCAGCTTTGGGGTTTCCCCCATTCGCCCCCTAATTCCCTCAGTCCCCGGCCAAAGCCGTTGTGTGCATGTCAAGTTACAATTTCGCCGAACCAAATTAACACATACACCGGGCGGCAGGCAGGAGGGTGTGCGGATGGCCGCGAGGCATTCTCCACACAGACTCCTAGCCGGGCGCCCAGGATCCCGGGCTGCAGTCCGTCCGGCCCTTCTCCCTCGGCTGTTTCTTTGGACAGGGTGCGACATCTATGCCATGTTTACTTTGCTACTTAGGGCCATTGTTGTTGTTGCTTAAAGCCGCAAAGTGGCTTCGCTTGCTGGAAATTTAAATGCTTGGCCTGTCCTGGCTTATTCCGAGGAACATTTGGGCCAAAACCCTTGTGTACTTTTTGGGTGTTTAGTGTATTGTTTTAAGAACTGATTGTTTCGCCTAGAGATTATGGTTCTGTGTCATGTCGGACTCCGGGTGCGCCTACTTCTGAAAGGGATTTCGCAGTCGAATCATGGTGTGACCTTTGTTTGTTTGCAGAGTCCTGAAATTTTACAATTTTAAATCTTTGCACCATGCAACAATTTTTAAAACACTAGTTTTATTGGCTACAATATATGTATGTATATACTTACATAAATTCAGTATAATATGCTTAGGTATCTGTGACAAATTATAAAATATTATAATAAATTATAATTTATAGTATTTATCGAACCATGCACAAATTATATAGTTCTTTTTTAAGTTCTTAATTTAAGCATAAGTATAATTTCAGGTCGAGGTTATCAATGAAATCACAATTAAATTTAAAATAAAATAAAACAAACCAAATAAAAACAGCTTCAATAACTTGAAAATAGAAGAATAAACCTTTGATTCAAATAAAGAAGACTAAACATTTGATTCAATTCATTTCATTAGGTTCTTTTTTCCCCTTTTTATCGTAGTTTAACATAAACATAACATAAATTTTCATTGTGGTTTGAAGTCTTAAAAAAAAAACAAAGAAAAGGATTTTCGAAATGTTTGTAAAACGAAACAATTTGCGAAAAAATTAAGGAAGGAAGATCGAGAGTAGTCTTACAAAACGTTTTATACGTCGTACAGGACCGTTTGATTTATTAATTATACCGGTAAAAGATAAACGGATCCGAATCTGTGTCAATATATATTAAAGCTTTGTGGGCATTTTAAATATCCTGGGATAAGGATTTCATATTCTCTTGGTGAATGTCGACGTGCACTTTATGCCAGTTCAAAAACTCAGTTGGATGGACACATCATCAAGGTGCCAACCGGCTTTAACTAATGAAGTTATAGAGCGACCTATTTAGTTTTAAATAACGAAATTTAAAGTCTCGTCTCTTTAAAAATCTTCCAACAGCGGACTTTAAGAATTTTAAGGAAATTTAAAACCAATTCTGTTAAAAACCAACACCTTCTCAACAACTGTAAGAGAATTGGTGGTGTGTTCTCACAAACCTTTTTGTTGTTCGCTGCTGTTTGTCCCCTTACAAGGTGAGATAAGTTTTCAAAACTTAGAACTTTCTCCATTTTAATTTGTAAAATTTTAACTATATATGTGCATAATAATTAATTTTAATAGCTAGTAACAAATAAATGAGACGATTAAATTCCGGCACAAAACATAATAAAGTTCAACTTCAAGGCCTGAACGCAATTAAATTCGTATTACTACCTTCCTTCCTCGTTCTTCATCTCAAATTCCGTAGCAGAAATAAAGTTAATAAAGTTGTTTCACACTATTTCAAAAGCTTTACAATCCATTTTGATTCACCCACAAACAACGCTCTTTTTGGCGAAAATAACACTAAAATAGTAAAGCCTCGCCAAAACCTCGCTCAATTGGGACTCGCGCCAAATAATCGGAAATAATTTCTCCATTTTTATGTCGCTTAACCCTTTAATACCGTACACATGGCTTTCGAGTTTTCAGCAATTTTTCCCATTAAAAATGGTTTTCCATAATTTTTTACTTTTACAGCATTGAAGTGCAAAATGGGGAGAAAATACGAATTGATAGCGCACGAGTTCAGGCTCGTTAAAAATCAATCCCCCGGTGGGGCGAGCGGTGCGGTGGCGGTGGCGGTACGGCGAAGGTGTCGCTGGCCATGTCCCGGCGGCCTGTACTCCTCGTGGTCAATATGTGCGACTGTAAGTCCATATAGGCGTCGGTCCTGCCGTCATTCTGCTATCTATGTATATATTCTCCCCCTCTGAAGGGATGTCAGGCTTCAGGCTGTATGTGTTTGTCTGGATGCTACTGTGAATATATGGGAATGGTTTTGTCATATCGATGCACCCCTCCCTGCACTACCGAAAAGTTCCCTACATGTCCAGCTTGATCTTGTTGTACAACGGGAAGGTATGACCAATAAAAAGTGCACTAGAATATCCTAAATTAAAATCAAAAATATATACAAACTTCCTGGATAAACTTACATATGTGTATATGTATATTGCATTCAGTATGTAGGGCATTGACAAGTCACTCTTGTCCATAAGCTTTGCCATTTTTTTCCGTAATTCTGCATGGAAATCACCACAAGCTGAGGCGCAATGAAGCGCAACGTCCACGCGACATTTCCAATTTACGCGGCATCTATACAGGGCCATGTCGAGCGATGTGACCAAGGCCATGACTCTAACCCCAAAAATTGGTCCGATGTAACGCCACAACAAAGAACGTTAATTGACGCCAAAATGCTGCTGCGAAATAAAAAAGAAACATAAAAACCGAATCTGCCCGGTGGAGCGAAACGGAAAAGAGGCGAATCGTTGGCGGAGGAGCATCGGAAAAGAGAAATCGTCCGGTGTCCTGCCGGAGCTCGGTGAATTTAAACGCTCCTGCGACCCAAGCCGGTGCGATCCGAGGTGAGCCAACCCAAAGCGAGGCTCAAGTGGCTTTATTAACCCCTTGAGAGGTCGACGGGGATCCCCCACGACCCGGCACTCCATTTCTGCCGGTCCGTTCACCGAGTGGGCGTGTTTGAATCAGCACACGTGATTAATGGCCTTTAATTATGTCAAAGCGCGACGGAAGGCCTCCGACCAGAACCTGAGTTCAACGGTATGCCAGTTAAACGCTTGACATTAAAAAATTGACACCGTTTGGGGTGAAATGTCGGCGACGTTCCTCGGCCTCCCACCATCGCCCCGTACCGCCAGACCCATGTTTTTGCCTCTGACAACTGTCTGGCACACGTAACCGGGCTCCCTGCCAGTTCGCATGTCAGCTCCCAGCGCCCCTTCCCCCGGAACAAATTTAAAATCCAAACACCCGCCCACACAAGGACACCGTGCCGAGAAACTCCTTCGGACATTCGTTACCCAGCCGTGATTGTGTGGGCGTTTGTCTCGCTTGTCGCTTTTAATGAAAGCGTCATAAATTATGTTGCAGTTGACGAAAGCAACGTCGAAGCTTCCGTCTACAAACGGGGCTCCCATGGCAGGGGTTCAGACTGCGGGGTCATTTAGCATGTGTGTAAACAGAGGCCCTTTCAAAAGAAGGGGATCTCAAAATGATATACGAAATTTAAGGTAGAATACGTATGCTAAGTACGAAATATGTTCGTATCTATATGCATTAGTAAAGTATTAAAATAAGGTCTTGAAGAGAGATTTCTTTAAAATATACGATTGTTAAAGTTTGTATGCGGATAGGTTTTCATTTGAACAAATTAAACATCCAGGAAGAAGCAAAAATGTGTTTTTGTGCTGAGAGTTGAACACTTTTATATCAAAAGTATCCTTTCTTGGCTTATAAAGCCATGTATATATAAACATAGAAACTGGTCCCAGTTTGAGGTAGATAAGTAGAGAATAATGCACAGAATATATGCATGTCCCATGGGTACATGTCATAAAGGCTACTGCTAATATATGTTTATGTAGATTTCAATCTCCTTAAAATATAGTCATCGAGTTTAAACATTACAAAACGAACCCAAACCTCGAGACAGGCAAACCAATTTCTAAATAAAATAAAGAGTAATGTATATTAAAGTTATGGTAAACCTTAAGTAATAAAGAGACTTTAACGAATATCTGTTTTATGATTGCTTATTGGTTATTTACTTCCACAGCCTCTCTGACATCTTGAGAATGCTGTTATATTTACTTAGTTATAGTAATTAAAAAATCATAGATTTGACTGATTAAATTTTAATCAAAGGTTTCTGTATTAATATATAACACTGCGGAAGTTATTCCAATTTTATTCGCAACAATAATTTCCATACATCTAAGTTCGCATATATTAAAATTATCAAAAAACTTTTGACTGAATTCACTGGAATAAAATCATATAAAAAATGATTACAGTCTCCTCACATCTGTACTCTTAGGAATATCCGCCTAGAACAACACATAAATGAGGTAGCTGATATAAACGGCGAAGAAGAGTATGCAGAAGTTGGTCTTTCCATCGGCAATAAACGCCTGCCAAAAGTTGTAGTTCCTCCAATGCGGATCCGGAATCGAAGAGTTCACGGACTCGATATACGACATTTTTCGCTCCACCGCTACTCCATTTGGTGGCTCATTGCTAATCTGCACGATTCTCCGTGATGTTCCCTGGGCAAGGGCAGAGGATTTTCTCGGCAGCAGGTGAGCGCGCCGAAAATGGGAAGCTGTGGATGTGGCTGCGAGGGCGGGCGAAATCATCAGACTCAGCAGAATGAGCCACACTATAGACATTCCCGCATCCGAGTGTTATTCTTGGCCAACAATCCGAGATCAACTGGAGAACGTCTTCTGCGTAATCCACGGAGCGAGCAATCATCTAACCCAAAGAGAGTGGATTGTCTGTTTTCTGTTTGCATACCTCACAGGTGTTTTGATAATGCGCTCGTTTCTGTATCTACTTTGAGGGCCCTTTGCTAAGCCCATGACTTGACCTCTCAATGCTGTTTCTTTTTTTATGTATATCTAGAGTCAGTAGATTAGACTGGTATGTCAAGGAGCATATATAACAATTAAATTCGGAAATAAAAACTATACTAGATAGATTACATTATTTAAAAATGAACTAAAATAATATATGTTGATTATATGGATAAAATAAAAAACCTTGTAGTTGTAAATAAGCTACCATTCAACACTCAGCTATAAAAAGGCCATCAAGTTAAATGATTTTTGCATAATAAATCAGATTTCTATCGAAATATACAGATTCTGTATTACAGAACTTAACTCCAGAAAATAAGAAATCAAAACTCTTATTTTCGCTTAAAAAATGATCGCAATAGTTATTTCTGCAATACTTGTAAATTTTAGATTTTCACATTATATTTGAAAGGGGAAAATAGTCACGGAAGGGAACGGGAACGATTTGCTTTTGAATTATTACGGGCACTTGCAACAATTATAAACATATGTACATATACCGATAAACTTTCATATACATAAATCACAATTTAAAACAGCACAATTCTATAATTTTCAACTAAAATTATAATGCAAGCTGTACATACAAATGTATATATTACAAATAATAAAATAAATAGAATAGTTTGACACGTACTACTTCGAACGCGTTTTGTCCCATGTCTGTTATTATTTACAATTCTGCTTTAATGATCTTTTATAATTTTTTGTTTGGCCATAGGTTAATAAATAATTCAAATACGACAATTATTTTTTTAAGCGAGAAGGAATCTTGTTTTATGCACAGTAATTATCACAATTACTAAATTTGACATAAACAAAAATTCAAAAATTGTTCCATGGAATTCGAAAAGATGGAATAGAACAGCTGCAACAGGTTCTAGATTCATTATTTTCAATTGAGTCTGAGCAAAGACTCTATAATAACAAGATGCAAAACGAGCACATTTCAGTTAAACATTTCATTGTTATATTCTGGCCTTTCATCTATCTACTTCAACGCAATATAAACTTATCATCAACATAATGGTAAATCCCCACAGTCTGATAATAATACCTCCTTGGCCATCTTTAGAAAAAAGAATATCCTTTACTATTTGTATCAACAGCCATTACTATTTGGGAAATCAAATAATTATAAAAGTTCAGCCCAGAGTCATGTTCGCTGGCTTTGGCGGTGTCTGGAGCCGAGGCAGAACTTGAGGAAAACTTTTGCCCAAAAGGTGAAGCAGTGAAAAGTTTTTCCAACTAGCCAAAATTTCATTTAGGCGCATTTAGGCGGCAGTTAGTGGAAGGGACGAGAACGCAGGATGCCCAAAGAGCGTTTAAATCAAATCCAGGCATGGTTTCTTAAAGCCTTTCACTGCGATGCATGCACAGAAATCATATTTGGGCACAGATTTTATGCTGCCTCAGCGCCGGCTGAAAAACTTTTATGCCAGCACTGCAGGACCAAAACTTTCGCCTCGGTCGCACTGGAATCAGGCTCCAGTCCGTCCCCCGCCACTGTCTCCGCCGACCACCCGACCGCCTTTGTGCCAATTCGAGTTGCAGAACTCCAGCGAAGCGTGTGAAATGCGGCACAGCATAGTTAGGCCTTGAAGCTAGCGCCTCTTTGATGGATTCGTGCCCAAATGGGGGCAGACCGAGGATGCCAGGGAACCCTTTGCCCAGCATTTTCATTTAGCCAGGCCCTGACGCAGACTTGCTAAAAATCCAGCATTTTGTTTCGTTACTGTACTTCATTTTTTTGTTGCATTTATTTATGTTTTACTGCTTCTCGCTGGACAACTACCACCCACTTGGGTTTATCCCTGGAGCTGACGGATCAGACGGCGCTGCCTCTGGAGCAACTGCTCCATCCTGCGCCTCCTGCGCTCCTGGCGTTGCCGCCGCTCCTGCCGGCGACGACGCTCGCGACGCAGACGACGGCGACGGGCACGGCGCCTGGCCGCCGCAGATGAGGATGAAGAGGAGCTAGCGGTGGTGCTGTCCGAGGAGGACGAGGAGGCTGCGGTGGTGGTGTCCGAAGAGGAGGAGGCTGCGGTGGTGGTGTCAGAGGAGGAGGCCGCAGTGGTTGTCGTGGCCGCCTCGGTAGTCGTGGTGCTGCTAGCACCATAGCCCTCCTGGGCCAGGAGGAGGCACCCGAGCACGCCAAAGACCAAAGCGAATACGAAACGCATTGTGATGTGTCTGATCTGTGTCATTGTACCGGCTTATATACGCAATCTGGTTCAAGAATACTTAAGCCTTGTAATAGAAATAGTTTGGCTTGTTCAATAATTGGAAATGTTTGCACAGCTTCCAATTTTGACTGACATTGGCTTCCCCAATGTTCTGCTAGTAAGGTCATCTAGCTTGAAGATTTTTTCTTCCATGCTGGAATAAAGGCTGTAATGCATTAAAGTCACTGCTATGGCAAATTTAAAATTTTAGACTTTTCACAGTTTTAAAAAGTGAATAAGTGGAAGGAGGTATAGCAATTTTATATTATTCTACAATTTTGTGTAAAATTTTATGAAAATCGGCCTACTATATTATATATGTAGCTCCCATAGGAACGATCGAGAAATTAATACAATTAAAAATTATACCTTTTTTCATTTTTCAACAGATGTTGATCAAATTTGACATACAGCCAGTTTATTTTAGTTATGTGTCAAATTTTATGAAAATCGGACGACTATATCTTATAGGTGCCATACAAACGATCGTTAGATGTGGAGGAAAAATGCAGATCTGTGAATGTAAAACTGCAAACATAATATGTATAGGTTAATAAAATGAAAGCAGGTATTACTTCATTGTTTTTTAACATAAATATATATCATTATCTGCATTGTTTTAATTCAATTTTAGTCCCGGTCGTTCGCGACATTTTAGAGAGCTATAATTTAAACTAAAACTGTACGAATATTGGTGATCGCATATGTCCTTTTGCACTTTATATTGACTCTGCATTCTCTGTGTGATATTAGAAAGCAAAAGTAAAAGCACATTTGATGGTTTTTAGCTCATTTTGAGGCCTGCACTTGGTTTAATCTTATCCACCGAATGCCCCTCTCGTTTTGGACATGCTGGTGCTTATATGTTACAACACTAATTTATTCCGTCTTGAAAAGGATCTCTGAATGAACATCGACAACCTTAAACTGTGGCTAAAATTTGTAGGTTCCCCATAACTTACATTTACCTTGAACTTTTTAAAATTGTGCGTTTTGCTTAAAATTACCTAATGTATCTAATATATTCAAGTAATATAGAGAATTTCAGTTAGATTACAAAACACATACATAATTCTCAACATTTATTCCATTATTTGAATTGATTTGCAGTAGGAAAATATACTATTCTAAGGAAATACATCGTCCGGATCTTAACCACGCAGCTGGTTGATGCGACGACGCTGGTTCTGGAGCTCCTGGCGGAGCCTCTGTGTCTGGCGCTGCCTCCTGCGCTCACGGCGCTGGCGCTGGCGGGCCAGACGACGGCGGCGGGCACGTCTGCGCCGCCTGGCAGCCGCCGAAGAGGTCGAAGAACTGGTGGTGGTGTCGGAGGAGGTGGAAGCGGCGGTGGTGGTGTCGGAGGAAGTGGAGGCGGCGGTGGTGGTGTCGGAGGAGGTGGAAGCGGCTGTCGTGGTGGCCGCCTCCGTGGTGGTGGTACTGCTGGCACTTCTGCCCTCCTGGGCCAGGAGAAGGCAGCCAAAGATGGCAAAGATCAGTACGAACGATAAGCGCATGCTGAATGTGTCTGTCGGGTTCAATTATCTGTGCCTGCTTTTATACCCAATTTTGAGAGTGGGAGTATTTTCAATTGTTGTAAACTAGTAAATAGTAAGTTTTGATATTTGCTTTTACTTAGTATGGTTTGCATAGCTTGATCGGAATTTACCAAACAGACCTTGTATTACGTACGTACACATGTATGTAGGTGTATTTGTTAACCTGCGTCATTTTAAGCTTCCGGTAAAGGATTCATATAAAATGATTCGCGTTCGGATTATCGTCAGAACAGTCTTACAATGCGCCTATCGTGGGTCTTGCTTTTGGCCCTTTTGGGCTGCCTACTGCTCGCCCAGCAGGGATGCAGTGAGGATACCACCACTTCCACGGAAAGCACCAGCTCCGCCGATGACACCACCTCTACCACTGCCGCCTCTTCGTCCCCTCCGAGACAACCGAAGCCTCCGACTCCACTGGCAGTGACGCTACAACGGCGGCGTCGTCTGCCACCACCACCACTGCGTCGTCCTCTTCCTCTTCCTCGTCCAGCGCAGCTGCCAGGCGGCGCAGGGCAGCCGCACGCCGACGACGTCAAGCCCGCCAGCGGCGCAGGCGTCAAGCGCGCCAAAGGCGCCGCCGTCAAGCGCAGCGTAGGAGGCAGAGGCAGCGTCGTAACAGACGGGGATGAGCGTTAAGCTATAAGTTATGCCCCACGTGAAAGCTGCTCCTCAGAATTACATATTTTAAAATAAAGAACATTCACAATATTAAAAAAAAGTTCCCTAATTGAAAACAATATGAAGTCACTCAGAGAGCATCATCATTGAAAATCAGACGACATACTTTGCACAACAAAATAGATTGTTCGGCTAATATTTATAATAATTGGTATTACAGAAAGGTATAAACATTATTTGAAGCCAAGTTTTGTTTTTAAAAATAAAAAAATTGAAAAGCCAATTTATGCCTTGTAGGACTTCTATAATTTAGATTTAGCGACATGAGTAACTCAATGTCGATTTACCCTTAAACCAAATGAGATAAGAATAAATTAACCAGGTTGTCCTGATATGAATTAATTAAGGAAGAAAATAAATCAATTATCGAATTGATCAGTTTTAATAAAACGCCATATGATGAAAATTATGCAGTTTATTTTATACTTGAAAATTAGACCATTTCGATTAAATTCATAGAAAACAAGAAAAAAGCTAACTTCGGCACGCCGAAGTTTATATACCCTTGCAGATAGAACTTCTATGATTAGGAATAAATTATATATAATTTGTGTTAAAAACAATACCTGGTTTCATTTTGTTCAACTATACATATTATATTTGCAGTTTTACATTCACAGATTTGCATTTTTCTTCTACATCAAACGATCGTTTGTATGGCACCTATGTGATATAGTTGTCCGATTTTCATGACAAATTTCAAATTTCAAATTTCATTTTCACACCAAATTTAAGACTAATATAAAATGGCTATACCTCAAATTTGATGAAAATCTGTTGAAAACTGAAAAGGTTATAATTTTTAATTGTATTAATTTCCCGATCCTATGGGAGCTATATGATATAGTAGTCCGATTTCTATAAAATTTTACACAAAATTGTAGAGTATAATAAAATGGCTATATTTTTAATTTGATCCAATTCTATTGAAAACTGAAAATGTTAATAATTTTTTTGTAAAAATTTTCTGATCATTCATATGGCAGCTATATGATAAAGTCGTCCGATCCGGCCCGTTCCGACATATATACGAGTGAGAGTATATAGAGTCAGAGTATATAGATAGCTTCAAAACTGAGAGACAAGTTTGCGTAGAAACGGACAGACGGACTGAAGGACAGACGGACAGCCGGACATGGCTAGATCGACTCGGCTGTTGATCCTGATCAAGAATATATATACTTGATATGGTCGGAGGTGCAGTTTGCACTGCGTTGCAAACTTCTGATTGAAATTATAATACCCTGTAAGGGTAAAATAAACAATAGGCGAGTTATAAACACTTTTAAGTATAATTTCACAGCTTAACTTTGACTAATTTGTTTAGGTTCTCATTTAAATTTTCAGGACTTTTATCAAATCTAAAAGCATAATATGTAACTACAGCGAAGATAGATAGATTTACTAAGAGACTTACATACAAAATTCATTCAGAAAGCTTAAAAACTGAGAGACGCATTTTGGGTAAAAACGGACAGACGGACATGGCTAGATCGACTCGGCTGTTGATCCTGATCAAGAATATATATACTTGATATGGTCGGAGGTGAAATTATAATTATTATTATATTATTATAATTATGATTGAAATTATAATACCCTGTAAGGGTAAAATAAACAATTGGCGAGTTATAAACACTTTTAAGTATAATTTCACAGCTCAACTTTGACTAATTTATTTAGGTTCTCATTAAAATTTTCAGGACTTTTATCAAATCTAAAAGCATAATATGTAACTACAGCGAAGATAGATAGATTTACTAAGAGAGACAAAATTCATTCAGAAAGCTTAAAAACTGAGAGACGCATTTTGGGTAAAAACGGACAGACGGACATGGCTGGATTGACTCGGTTGTTGATGCTAATCACTACATATGGTTGGAAATGCAGTTTGCGATGCAAAATTTTGAATAAAATCACTTCTGCTAAAATTATAAAACCCCGCAATGGTGATATTAATTTAATAACACTCAGAACATTTTAAATAATGTTGGACAATATTCGTTACCATACCCAAATATTTAATATTAAGCTTAGTGAAATTTTTTAAATTAAAAATTAATTCATTATATTCTTTAAACCAGCAATCGTGGCGTTTTCCCAAAAGCTTATATATTTTAATAAAAAGCAAAGGCAATACAAATTTAAGAATGTATAGATTTTGCTTATTTTATTTGCATATAACCAGAATTTTAAAGACCACCTTTTAAAATGATGTAAACAAAGTCGAAAATATATGTACATTCTTAGCAGTGGCACAACAGGTTATTTTTGAATTAAAATTTAAAAGAAACTTTTGAAAACATTTGCTCAAGTTCATAAAACAAATTTGATTAAAAAGCTGTTCAAACATAGTCAAATGTCAAGTGTAAGATGGCGTAGTTACATTGAACACAACTCTGTGGACACTGGAGTATAAAAGCGCTCTAGCATAGCCAGATTAAACATACAATCATGCGCTTCACGTTCGTACTGATCTTTGCCATCTTTGGCTGCCTTCTCCTGGCCCAGGAGGGCAGAAGTGCCAGCAGTACCACCACCACGGAGGCGGCCACCACGACAGCCGCTTCCACCTCCTCCGACACCACCACCGCCGCCTCCACTTCCTCCGACACCACCACCGCCGCTTCCACCTCCTCCGACACCACCACCAGTTCTTCGACCTCTTCGGCGGCTGCCAGGCGGCGCAGACGTGCCCGCCGCCGTCGTCTGGCCCGCCAGCGCCAGCGCCGTGAGCGCAGGAGGCAGCGCCAGACACAGAGGCTCCGCCAGGAGCTCCAGAACCAGCGTCGTCGCATCAACCAGCTGCGTGGTTAAGATCCGGACGATGTATTTCCTTAGAATAGTAAATATTTGAAATATAAAAAAAAATGTGTGAGAATTATGCTTTACTTTTCTTATTTGGTAAGAAGTTGTTATCTATGTTAACAGCTTGTTGTTTGGTCCTCCGATATAATGATCATTATATTTTTAAATAAAAAGTTGAAAATTATAATATGAATTCAATTAACATTCACACGGATTCAGTCCTGTCGATTTGTATACAGCATTACTAGTCGAGTAGATCTTGAGGAAACTTTTCGTTCATACCTATTTAGTTACAAATTTGTGTGTCCAAAACAAATGTTGATATTGTCTAATAACTTCCATATTTATTATCCGATATTACTTAACATTTTTGTATACAATGTTAACTTAGTAAAGGTTTAAAAACAAACTTGATCTGCATGCAACGGATATGAATGAATAAATGAATCGAGATGTATTTATAACCTTTTTAATTTTTAAGTTTGCCACAGAGTGCAGTATTATAGAGTGTATACATATGTCTTGTTTCAGTACCATCAGCCGATTTTATTTCATTCATTTTATTTCATTTTTGTTTATCTTTCTTTCCCTCTGTAAAATTGTATATAGGTGAAAGAAACTATTCAGATATTCTTCTTTCTATTGCAGGATGAAGACACATGTCCCGATTAATGCTCTTTTCCCAAATAAATTATTTGTATCAAACTTCTATTCTGGGAAAAATATCTATCTTGGGGTATCCTTTTAAGGATTTGGTATTTGAGTGAAAAAGGCATGGAGAGCTATGAATGACAAGGAAATATTAAAAAAAAAACAAACCATAAAGAATTTAAACTATATATGTATTTTTCAATATTAATTTATTATGATGCTAATACTTATTTAGAATATTAATCTCTTAGTGCTAAAGCATAAACAATATATTTTGTAAAGCACTCCTTGTGCTTTAGATTGACTGAAAATACTCGCCCCAAGATGTTTCCTTTAAGTGGTGGATAATCCTCCTCGCATAGGGGTATAAAAAATTAATAGTAGCCGATTATAAGACCTACTAAAAAATATACAAATTAAAAAAAAAATCGGTCAAACCGTTTCAGAGGAGTATGGTAACTAACACTCTGACACGAGAATTTTATATAAATAGATTTTGGAGCTATTTTTCATAGAGCATGACCTTGAATTGATTAAAAAAAGAACCAACCATGTTCAGCGCCAATGACCTTAGCTGATATCAATTACAGTAAAGATCGAGAAGCTGAGCAAACATTTCCGATTACTGAACCAAGCTATTTGCTTATTACAAACCTTTTTCTGAAACCAAATCGTGTATATAAGCCGGTACAATGACACAGATAAGACACATCACAATGCGTTTCGTATTCGCTTTGGTCTTTGGCGTGCTCGGGTGCCTCCTCCTGGCCCAGGAGGGCTATGGTGCTAGCAGCACCACGACTACCGAGGCGGCCACGACAACCACTGCGGCCTCCTCCTCTGACACCACCACCGCAGCCTCCTCCTCTTCGGACACCACCACCGCAGCCTCCTCGTCCTCCTCGGACAGCACCACCGCTAGCTCCTCTTCATCCTCATCTGCGGCGGCCAGGCGCCGTGCCCGTCGCCGTCGTCTGCGTCGCGAGCGTCGTCGCCGGCAGGAGCGGCGGCAACGCCAGGAGCGCAGGAGGCGCAGGATGGAGCAGTTGCTCCAGAGGCAGCGTCGTCTGATCCGTCAGCTCCAGGGATGAGTGGGAAAAATAATTAAATATTAGTAGCTAAATTTAAAAAATACAAGTGCTATCCTGACTAATACGACTGTGTGTATGACTCGAATGATTTTCGCCAACTCTTTGGACTTTTCTTCACCGCGTTCGAACACATTTCCATCGCCAAGCCCTTGGCGGTTAGATATACATATTCAATCAGCTGAGCAAAGGGCGAAGGCGGGGTTTCTGAAGCGGCAGACAATTGGCCCTCCCCAAGGAGTCTATTATGCCAGAGATTGAACGCTGAAAAATGCTTTCCTTGTATTCGAGCTGAGCAGTGAGCAGCCTGGGGAATCAAATCAAATAAAATATTCATTTTGATCCTTGAACTGTGCATAAATATGCAGTCGGCTGCCGGACGGACAGAGCGTCGTCAACCACCCAGATTCCACATACTTATCCATGGGATGCGAACCAAAATTGGGAAGTAAACGAGCATATATAAAAGATGCGGTTTGACGACGGCACTTCATCATCTTTTTCGTATCAGGAATCGCAGAGATGGGGCAGGAAAGCGATTTCCGTGGGCGGGCTTATTGTGAGTGAAATCCAAGATTAAGTGGAGCAGACAATTTAGGGAATGGGATTCAGGATTAGGGTTAAGTTGCGTTCAGTTAACAATTTTTTATTCCAATTGTATGGTCCTGTTGTGAGTTAATTGCTTAGCTCCTCCGGCGAACAGAATTTCCAACTTTTTGTCCTCCTTCGCAATATCCAGTCCTTGCATTCTCTTGGAACTGCGTTATCAGATTTGCTCGCTACCAAATTGCATTTCAGCAAACTTATTTTACAGAGAGGACAGCCATCGAGGAACTTGAAAAAAAAGTAATGCCGGCGGCCAAAAGGTGAAAGACAGCTGGGGAGGAGGTCATCCCTTATTGTTGTCATATTTCCTGGACCTTGGCAATCTGCCATTGTAGGCAATTGTAAATACGAGACGAAGGATAATGTATACAATTCCCCACATTTTTTCTTAGGAATGCGCTTTGTAAAGTTTGGAGAACTTTCAGCCTGATTGCTTAGTAAACTGATAAAGTCAAGAATGTGCTACGTATAAACAGAAAAGTAACCATTGATCATTTTATTTAAAGAACAGCCATATATTTTGATAAAGTCACCCAATTGTTTCTTAACTTAAAAAACCAAGTCGAAAAAAATTACCATATTTTGGGGTCATTTCAAATATGGGAAATTCTCCAGAAAGGTCCACCGAGGGCAAAAACTTAAAATTGCTTAAAAACGAGTAGTTTTAACATGGTTACATAAAAAATTGGTCAGATTGATCAAGACTAAGACAATTTTTCATTTTCTAAAATAAATTTCGAAATAATCGATGTCAAACACGAGTAAACGCAATTTATGTTACTTTTTATAAAAACAAAATAATAAAAAATGGCATGTTTTGTTTTGATGCCAATCGCTTAAACAAAAGCATTTTGCGTTTACTTTCGCTTTCTAATATCACAGAGAGAACCTAGAGTCCATATTAAATTCAAAAGGACCCCTGCAGTACCTGTCATCAACAAAAAATCAACGTTTCATCAACAGTAAAGGGGGTGCTGTTGATTTTTCATCGATGACAACCCATACAAACTGTTGATTTATTTAACATGGGAATGCCCTAGGCTGTCATTAATAAAATTTCATCAACAATAAGTCGATGATTCATCAATAAATTCACCAACAATTCATCATCATTTCATAGAGCGTCGCCTCGGTAGAAATCGCAGTCGGCGCGTAGATGACATGTTGATGACAGAGGCCTATTGATGACACGCGGTACTGCAGGGTATGTATATGTATGAAGATAAATTTAGCTAGGAACATGTTGAAAAGAACCCTTTGGTAGTGTCAATATAAATTAACACATCTCACTTACATACAAATTCGATTGTCAAATTATTCTTGTTTATTATTATTTTATTATTATTTTATTTTTATTTACTTTTTTATCTTAAACTGTATCGGAAGCACCAGCAAAATGTTTGTAGCAGAATTGTTTAACACTTGGGTGTTGGGCAACCTGTTCCTAGCAATTATTTGTCAACATTTTAGTCTTTCTTCCGCCCTAATTTATTTTATATATCATATTTTCAAACATAATTGAAAATAGTTATACATGTCCTTTAAATTACACCCATTATGCTTTGGATGCCAGGTATTTCACAGTCGGCACACTCGAATTTAGCTTTTCTACTTTTTTTTTTTATTTAGCCTGAAGGCTTTAGTCGCTCTGGCTCAGTTCATTGCAATGAGCAACTCAATTTGTTATTACAATAATTAATAAATAAATTAATTGTTTGTTAATATAACTATTAATTATTAATAATAATAATAATAATAATAATAATAATTAAAATTTAAAAATATTACTTTTTGCAGCTGAAGATGAGACTTTTACTTTAATCGTTAATCTCACATTGTTTAAAACTAATCAATTGATTCAAATTTGATCAACTGAAAAACTATGTTGGTCTTTTGTGAACGAGAAAGACAGTTCCACCAAATGCAGAAAAGGTCTGCCACCACAACACGACATCGGACTTAGAGATTTAAATTAGCTTGAAATCGTAAGAGTTAGCCATGGCAACAGGAGATTTATTGCCTAGAAAGGAAAGGAAAATGCTCCTTGTCCTGCTCTAGACATAATCAAGTAATTCAATAAACCGACTGCAGAAACAACAGTGTCAGGGAATGGATACGAAAATAAAAATGGGAGTTGGATTCCTAATAACATGGAGCTCTGTGATTTATATCAAGCAACATGCAACAAAACAATTTCTCTTCTGGTCCTGTCCTGTTTCGTTGAAACATACATATGTACATATAGTAGAAATAGCAACAACTTAATGCGTAAGTACAGGCCGCCGTCCCGAAACCAAAAGAACAAAACTAAAGTAACAGAAAGCAAAGCCGTAAAAAAACATACACCCAGCTGGGAAGAGAAATGTTTAGTTTAGCTTAGTTTCGTTTTTTGTTTGTTAAACTAGAGACTCGGGGCTCCAGGGCTTAGCATGTTCTTGGCTATTCAAACAATTTGCATATCCTTTTAGTGCAAGAAGTGTACTTAAAAAATCAACAACTACCACCGAAGTGTCCTGAAAAGGCAAGACAATGCCAGAAGAAGAATGTTGATGTGATTAAGTTTTTCTTAAAGTGTCGAGATATAAATAAGGACTTCAAGACTTAAAAATTGTTTCAATACTTGGATATAAAAATAGCTGGTAAGATTTATATTTTTATATCAAAGGGTATACATAGTAAAAAGATTTTTTTAAAAGGTATAATAAATAAATATTTTTGAAACCATCACAGTCAGGCCGGTTCCGGTTTTTACTCTTATTTCGATTTGGCGAAATCGTTTTATTTCGTTTTTTGATTATACTTCACTTAATTTTAGCTATAGTTTTCTTATCATTCAGTGCTGCTGAAACAGCTAAATTCCAATTTAAACAACAGTTTTCCACAAGTTTTGTCACACATTTTTCACAGTTTTAGCTTCGGTGGTGTCAACTACTTTTTAAACTGTATTTTAACAATTTAAGTAATTAAATTATATTGCATTTTTTATAGAAAACATTTTTGACCCCAGGGATGCAAGAATTTCTGTTTCGACTGGAAAAGAAGAGGCCAAAGACAAAAAAAGCGCAAGCAGACGGGACCTTTCAATTGAAAAGTGAATGTGACTAAACCCCCGTTCGTGGTCCTTTGGCAACCTCCTGCTCCCTGACCAGATGCCAGCCTGGATATTTATGCGCAGACGTTGCTCAATAAGCTGCTCAAGGATTTATTAGCCAAATGGACAGATTTGACTGGCTGGCTTGGCTGCTGGCCTGTGGCATATGTAAGGTTTCCCCAGTGGTCCATTCCGAGGCACTGTGCAAAATAATATGCGGCAGTGGCAGTGACAGTTGGCGCATCAAGTTTAGCATATATATTTCCTGGCAGTGTACTTCTCACACCGACATGCTCATGCTTGCGCTGTCTCGCAGCCAACTTATTGATAAATGTTTTCAAAACGTTTGCATTGAATAGTAATTTTTAAAGATTTACTGTGCCACAATCTGAGAAGGACCAACCCTTTCGGGGTCCTTGGGCAGAAAGCAGGAAGCAGTAAGCAGGAAGAGCGGAAAGGGGTCGCAGCCGGGCGACGTGGACAATGAATTTCCCTATTTCTCCCTCAGCAGCGAAGGGCTTTGTCGCTTTGTGTGCCTGTCTAATGGACCTTAAATGGCCGTTGGCTTGACCCTTGAACTTTTTCTTGGCTGGGAAAAAGTTTTACAAGTTCAACAAAGTGAAAACAAATGCATTGTGCGGATTGGATTTACCTTTTACACCTCTTCTCCGTGGCCTCGGCTTACGTAATTGATAAAAATTGTTCGGTGCAGATTTGGCCAGAGATTTGTTTTCCGATCGGGGGTTCACCATTGTGCTCGGTAATTGAAATTAAAATTTCTATAGCCAATTAACGGAAAATGTGACGAGAGGCTGTCAGCATACTCCAGTGTTACGTTTGTTACGTTTTGCTGCCTCCCCAATAATCCCAGCATCGCATCAATATGCCAATCAAAAATATCGAAATAACCAAGTCCAAAGCTCGGCAAGCTTAAATTCGCATAAATCATATCGAGTGGCACCTTAAATGGGCTAAAAAAATAGCCGAACGCGTTTTAAAAATTCGCAAGCTGTCACTGTCGGATCACAATAAACACGACGCAAGTCACAAACATTTCAAATCGAATATATTGAATAATAATTTTGCCGCTGTGGCCTTTTTGTTTCCCCATTCGACATCGCAGTATCAGCTAATTTTAATTCAATTTGGTCTTGCTGCAAAAACACCAAGTGTCGAGTGTCAAATTCGAGCACGTTCCTTAATTTAAAAGTACTGAGCCTTTATTCAAATTGACACTGATGGATGCGGGAATTACAATATTCTGGGGCAATCTGGGCAACTTCGCTCCCACATTCAACGAATCTAGACGTAATTGTGCTCTGGGCAACTTTATTTGCTTGCATGTGACATTGAATAAATTTAACTAAATACCATTGAGACACTGGACGACGTTTAACGGCTTCTCCTAGGGCAGGGAGGCTTCCTTTTCGGTCCTTCTAAGCGACCTTTGGCAGCATCGCAAAGATGCCGGGCTTGAGGTTGTTGACGTCCTGCACGACAAACTCTCCGCCATAGTGATCGTTCATAATCAGGGTGCGCTTCTTGCTGGCGTCCAGGAGCATGACCTGCCAGATGATCTCGAACTCCAGCTCGGGCAGCATGGCCGTGGTCGGGTCCTCAGGCCACCAGAACTTGTTGATGAAGTACGAGCCCTGTAATGGACGGTGAATATGAAAGCGAAGATTTCGATGCCAATGGAAATGGCCCTAGAATGTGACCGAGATGGTGGATGTTGGTGGTGGTCAGCTGGAGGCCCCTTACTTACCTTGGCGATCGGACAGTTGTCAATGATGTTGCCGTATTCGCGTATGAAGCCGTGCACGAAACGTCCCACCGGGGACTTGTTGGCGAAGCCCAGGATACGGCACACGTTGAGCGTGGTGTTCAGGGCGGTGCTGTAGAGCGAGTCCTGCTTGTTGGCGATGCGCACCTCCAGGTGGATATCCACGTCGTGCAGCTCCTGGTGCACCTCCATCGAGAAGTTCAGATGGGGGTCGGCGCTGTCATAGGTTACCTTGTGGCTGACATACTTTTCGTCGCTCCATATTTTGATGTCTTTAAACTTTGGACGCATCATTTTCTGCCGGAGAGTCAGTCGAGGGATCAGCTTGAGAGTCTCCTGGCAACACTCCAGGATGACTTACCTCGGCCAAGCCGGCATGGCAGATGGCCAGAAGGACTTGAGCCAGCAATATGGTGTGCAGCAGCATGATGAATCGGCTCTCGAGGGACGACTTCACTGGCTGCTTTCCGGCGGGTAAACTCTATTTATACTGCGGCAGGCTGTGGAAATTTTGAGATCGATCTTATCGGAAATTGTATTGGCATTGCAATGCCTGAGTGCTTTTTCAAAGTCCATCCACTTAGCTGACTCAATTCACCATAGCCATTGGTCTGATCCGATCCGATCCGATTACCCATCTGCGCCTAATGCCCTGGGCACTTTGTTGACCATTGGGGCCTGACTAATCATAGGAGAATTTATATAAAAAGCGACTAATTGAAAAAATGCCCATTGGATAATTGGTGCAAGATGCGTGAGGTGTTCACCCGAAGCTGCTGTGCCCTGGGAATCGTATTAGCGGTGCTCATCCCCATGACCGGGGCTTGGGTGAGTTCTGACTGAAAGCGAGTACTAGTTGGGGTATTAATTAATTGGTTCCAATAGCGTTCGTTCAAGGTCATCCTAACAGACATTGATTTCGAGGCAAATGATAAGATTGTGAACCTCACAGTAGATCTGCAAAATGACGCCGGCGACTCCAAGCTTAGCGTGGATATTAAAGTTTTTGAGGACATTGAGGATGTCCAATTGACTGTCGATGTGGGCCTGGAGACGGACAAGGGTAACTACTCCACCCTGATCAACCGCACCCTCAACTTCTGCAAACTTTTGAAGCTGCGGAACTCCGATCCTCTGCTTCGCGGCATCTACGAGGACTTGCTTAAGCACGGCAACCTGTTCAAGGAATGTCCCATCAGGAGGGGGACGTTCAGCCTCAGCCACTACAAGGTGGACGAGGAGTTGCTGCCCAGCTTTCTTCCGGAAGCAAAGTTCCGTTTCGGGCTACTAATTACAAGATCGAAGAATGAGAGGATCCTCAGGGCCGTCGTCTACGGCCGCATAGATAAGTCCAAGGGATTCGACAACCTCAAGCGGTTCAGCATGGGTTGAGATCCAATAAAGCCACAATGCGCGTCCAAGTCTGATGTGTTTTAGTATGCAAACTGCCTTTTGTCGCACGATTGACGTCGTCATTGTCGCCTCATCTTGTCCTCGGCATTCAGCTCCTCCAGCTGCCCCAGCTCCAGCTCCTCCTCCTCCTCCGACTCTGTCGTCGCCTCGTCACGTGTTTGCCTGCTCGACTGCGAAATTCGCATGTTTACCCGACGGTGACAAGCTGTCTGCAGGCAGCCAGCGGTAGCGCAATTGATGACGACGACGGTTGGAGGCGATGGGGATGGCTGCCTGGCCTGATGAGCAACAGACGACAATGATTTAGGGGTAAGGTATGTAGTATGTGTTAACTGGAGTTCCTCGCACTTGCAGTGCATGTGCAGACTGTCGGGAGCTGATTGGACTGATATCTGTGGAGAGCGATGGGAGCAAGTACATTATTGCAGCGTTCCATGGCAACTCAGAACTTTACTTGGAACTAAGCAGGCGACAATAAATACTTGCGAATATTTTACATTTTTCTCAATCTCAAGTCCTAGAATGTCTCTGAGCTTGCTCCCCTCATCATATCGCAACTGTAATTAAGGATGCGCTGCACATCGCTCCATCTGAGAGTCGATGACAGCAACCAAAGTCTCGACGAGTTGCCTGAGTCACACGATGAGAGAGAATAAACCCAGGCGTATTTACCCATTCTATGTACTTAAGTGGAGCTCGCTACCAGGGTTATAAATCTTGCGTAGAAAAGCGCAATAATTTAGAGCAGGCGGTTCCTTTGAGGTGTGCAATATCGTCCATAATTCCGAGGCGCGATCTTAATTGCTCCAACAGGGCACGTCAGAGCCTTACTTAGAGGCCCGAAATCGCTGTTAGATTCCCATGCTCATTTGTGTTTATTTTTCTGTACGGCCAGGGAAGGCCTATTAAAGCGAATCACGTTCGGCGTGTCCCGAACTCGCACCTGCCTCCTTCACTGCGAATAAAATTTATGAAATTTTCGCTTCGGCACAAATGTTCAAATGAAATTTGTTAAATAAAAATGGTAATTTTTACTGTCCTGCTCTGTTTCGCTTCTCCTCCGCTGCAGTGCTGGTGTTGTATACGCAATTCAATTATCGACATTTGAGTGACTTTTATTGAATTTATTTGGCCCGCTTCACCTTCGCCGTCTGTTCATCGCCAGCCTTACCAATGAAACGGAATCGAGAGTTTTTCTGCTAAAAGGTTATCAATTATTATTGTCACATTGTCGCGGATTGATTGGGTTCTCGGATGCGAGCTTCTAAGGCGCGAGTGCGGGTTTTTATGGGACCCCATCTTCGATTCCCATCAGGTGCCCTCGCACAACCCGAATCTATTGGCATTGGCGATTGAAATCCGTTTCCAAATTGCATTTAAATAGTGCTCTTCTGGAATTACCAGCGCATAAATTATGCGAGCGAATGAAACGGTTCCGTCTAATCCAAAGACTCGATCACAGCAGGAGAAAACTCGGCAGAAGACTGAGAAATCGGATTACAAATGCTAATTGATCGAAAGGGGGATAGGGGAAAGAATATTGATGAGACGCACGTGAGTGCAAAATAGGATAGAAACATGATAAACGTCTGTCTGGGCTTGGTATCAATTTCTTTGTCTATGGGAAGTTATGGGAAAAACCGCTCCCAGTTATGATTGGGCAAGTTCATTGAACTGAACCGTCTGATGGTGATATCTTGCTTATATCATAGCTCATAGCTCTTCAAAGGCTTTAAGGGGAGTCTAGTGATCTCACGGTACCAGCGACGACGGCCGCTACATTTTAATTGTGGTTCGGCAAGACCTTAACCCCGAAAGTGAGCGGAGGCACTCTACGTTCTTAGGGTTAGCCGGATTTGGCCGACTTTGCTCAGAGGCGATCTGAAATTGAAATCAAAATCACAGCTCTGTGCCACTCACAATTGGAATGCAAATAATGCCCTCGCGGCGGCAAGCACAATCGGCAAAAAGAAAGGCAAAACGGTATTAAACTATATTTGAAGTCTCCCGGGTCTCCGCGCAGTATATTTGAAGACCTATTGCGCGAATTTGGATTGTCACGGGTTCAATGGCTTGTCGAAAAGTTTCTCCATCGCGCGCAGGCTTTGGTGAATTGAAGTTTAAAGTTTTCCAAAACCCCGCTGGCTGAGAACTGCTCTACTATGAAAATCCACTTACAAAAATTATGTTAATTGCAAGGAACAGACGAAAAGGGACTGGGAAATAAATCTTATTAAATCAGAATGGCCGAGACCCGGACAAAGGGTGGGGCATAAGTAGCATAGCATAACTGGCAGACAATTGGCAAACAAACAGATTGCCAAAAATTGCAGTTTTATGAAACTCGGCTCTCTGTGACGTCATGTTGGACAGAGCTGGGACGGAATCAAGAATCAAGTCAGTCAAAGGCCTGCCACTGCAGCTCAATATTTGCACTGCGAAGCGTTTGCCGGCTGAGCATTAATTTTCACAGTCCCGAAATCCTTGTCTTGTAGTACATCAGTGGCTGGCTCGGCTTCAGGCACTGCGAAGGGCTCGGTAAACAAAGGCTGAGCAAATTTCGTAATCAGTTTTTCCCAAAGTTCTTAATGCGTTTAAAATAAAGTGATATCTCAGGCCTTGGAACATTAAGTCGGTCCTCAACAGCGCCCGCCTGAGGTAAGCCCGCCCCCGAGGGACTCGACTGGGTCGCACTTAAAATGCGCATAAAGGACTGCCTTGAATCGAAGGAATTTATTTGTTCCTGCACACAAATTTTATGCTTCTTAGTGCCGGCGGCGACGACCAACTTATTGCAATTGCTACAAATTTTTACATAAATTTACGCTATGACAACGTTCACTCCGGCTCCTCTCCAGGACACCGCCAGTCCTCCTCTTGCTAGTTATAGTTCGCCCACCCCCGTATTCGCATTATGCAGAACCTTTATCATTTTCCCTATTTTTATGAGCTTTTTTGGCTTTCTGTTTGAGTAATTTTTTTGCCAGGTGGAAATCCACTTTCAATTGTTTGGGGATCTGCCGTCGGCGTCCTGGAGGTTTACATATTGCTCATTTCACCGTCGTGGGAGAAACGGCGGGCGGAGCGGGAGGAGCTCCACTGCTTATTGCCGCTGTCTGCTGAAGTGTAAACATTTTCGCAGAAGGTGTAAATAAAATTTTGTAAAGCGATGCGACTGCCTCCGGCATCCCTGGCGTTCCTCTGGTATTCGCTGCGGAAGTCTGTAAGCTGCTGCCGCTCCTTGATTGTTTGTTCCTTCAGCGATTGGGGTGATCTGAATGTCAACAAATTTGCGCAAATAAGCAAAGAACTTTCTGAATTTAGACGAAACTGGCTGCGGGACGATTTATCCTCATTCATACAAATCTGTCCTGTCTCGAGCCCATTGACAATTGCCAGAAATTGGGCCTAATGGACTGGCCATCGATTTACGCGCAACGGTGCTTATTTTTACGAGGCTGCCATTAAGGCGGAAGTACTCATTAAACTGGCTCGGAAATCGGCAGTGAACCACAACTGATGGCTTCTATTTTCCACCTATGCGTGTATGCTAAATTAATGCCAACAATTCCATAACTTTCAATATAAGTCCGGATCAAGTGCACAGTGGGTTCTGTGGCAAAGATTGCGGACAAAATACTTTCATAAAATGAACTCCCAAAATGGCTTAACAAATTATTCATTAGTGATCACAAGTCTCATCTGTCATTACGGAAATTATTAGGAATAACATAAGTCGCACAGCATAATTAAATCAATTAAAATTGGTTAAAATTAATCTGGTATTCGAATAGTGCCCTAAGATTCATTCAAATATAAATAAATATTGGATGTTAATATTGGATGAGTCTTTTTTTTAAGTTGACAAATCGAGTCATTCTCTTTGTGATCTATTACTGAGCCAAATCGCGACATGTATATGTAAATCAAGCAATAAGCCTGGATTTGACTAAATGCTCTTATCCATAAGAATTTGCAATATTCTTGTAATACATTTTTGGCAAAATACCATTTACTTAGTTTTGTGTGAGCATTATGCTTCCTACTTAAATAAACTGCTTTTTACATTGTTTTTTCTTTCGTTTATAAAAACATTTTTGTATGAAAACTCCCAGGAGAATCCTTATCCGGGCAGTACCACTGCATTCTGCACAACCGACTGACCGCCAGTGCCCATCCTCGGCCGGATTCACATCCGCTTCCATGCCCCAGCTGCAGGGGGAGCGAGTGCGGGGAAGCTCGTGTGTGTGGTGTCTATTTAATTACAATTGTCGCTGTCGCCGCAATCCGTGTCCTGTGCAACGGCAACTGCAATTAACGCACTCGGCCTTTGGGAGCTGCCTGCTGGATGCTGTTAAATGCAGTATTCAGGATGTTTCTCGCTGGGAGCGCAGTATCGGGGCTGGCCGTGTCCGGTCGTTCGGAAGCTCTATCTTCGATGGGGCGGGCCGTCGGGCTGGGCGATTATTTTACGCTCAATTATTGTTAAATATTTCACAAAATGCGCATATTTATTTTAACACGGCAAATTGGCCCGGTTGGAGCTGGTATCATGTCCGTGTTTCGGTTTGGCGGCCGAGTGTCCTAATGAGATTGCAATTATTTGGTTATAAATTCGCATTATTTCGGGCCTTAAAGTTCATGCACTTCTGTTCGGCACATTTTTACCGTGCTGTTGGTGGTGTTGTTGTGTCCGATGTTGCTGTGCTGCATGGGAATTAACCCTTGTCAACTGACAGCATTTAATTTGAAATTATGTATTAATTAATTGGCCAGAAGCAGTGGACATTATAATTAAATATTTAATTTATGGCTTCTAATGGGGCCGTTAGTCAAGCGGAGCGCAGGAATAGTAGCGCAATTAGCGAACTCATTGCTCTCAATGTGCTCTCCGAAATATCCATGCGATTGATGACCTGCTTCTCTAAGATACAATCTGCAAGGTGTATAATTCAGGAGTTAAATTAAATATATTGTAAGACTAAT